AGAGAGCTACTGCTAGTGGTGCGTTCAGGCCCAACAGAGAGAAGGATGAACTGACATACGCCATCAGGACTATTGAACACGGTGGCCGAACTAGAGGCAAAGGAAGTGTCTCATGGGAGCATGGATTCCCTCAGGACAGACCTTCCTACAGAAGCCGCCAAAGAAAGAAGGAAGAAGAGGCACAGCGGCTCCAGAGGTTGGAGGAAGCGGTGCGTGAAGCATAGGAGCGGGAAAAAACCTTGAAGCGAGAATGCAGGAGGAAATCAGAAGGCAAGTGCAAATAGCAGTGAGTGCAAGCAAGCAGGCATCAGGGCCAGGAATCAACATTAGCCAATCTGCTCAGTTGAAAAGCAGTTGTGCTTCCACGGAGATATCAAATCAAGGGGACACAGGACTGCGCTTCCCTGTGGATGACGTCACTGAACCTTGTACATCGTGTGAGCTACACATTCCGAAGGGGAATTCCACAATCAAGGTGGCTATCGGTCTTGTTAATCCTATTGATCGAACCAAGATACCAAGGATTCATGGGAATATAATGCAAGAAGGATATGCTACCATCTCGGTAGATAAAGCTGAAAAAGGTTTTAGTGATTTGCCTCTTGACATTCCTGGAGGTGATGGCGAGAAGACTCTAGGAGAAGCAGAGAAGACATTCATTCTATGGCGCAAGCACTACATCATCATTCCTGGGATGTCGCCTCCACCTCCTCCTGAACTACCTCACCATAGGTGCGGATGAAAACACTACATCATTAATTTATATTGGCTTAAATAATTAACAATCTGCTCATTATAATATGTCATTCCTTTTTTTGTAGCAGATCCTTCCCCAACCTAAATCCAATTGTTCAATCGCCAGATCATCATAGTGCTCTGTACGATGACAATGTGTTGGAAGGCGAGGCTGCATCCACACCATCTCCAAGGAGGTATCCAATGCCGCAGCCGCCACCTCCAAGGAGGTCTCCAACGCCGCTGCCACCACCTCCAAGGAGGTCTCCAACACCTCCCCCGCCCCCACCTACCAAGAAGCCAAGTACTAGCAAGAGGCCAGCCCCGCAAACGAAGAACCAGTCCCCGCCGGCAAAGAAAGCCACCGTGAAACCAAGGGCTATTCCCAAAATAATATCTGAAGAGAAGGAAGAAGTAACTGATGCATATAAAAAAGATATGTCTAGATTCTATGACAAACTTAAAAAGGATCAAGAAGCAAGGAGAAACCCAGAGAAACCGTACTTCTTCGTAGCTCTAGATATTCTAAGAAAAAAGGTGGCTTCTTACCAGCAACAACAGCGGGAATCTCGTAAGCCGTCCAAAGCAACGTTAACGGACTGTGACCGCACTCTCACCATGTCAATTGAGGTGGCACAGAAAAAGAAGCGGGCAGGGAAAGGAGTTGCACAACTCGGACAACAATCGCACCAATCAGTCCCCCCGCTAGTTGTTGGTAATGAATATGGTTCGAATTTAGGATTAATGCATCAGACAAACATACCTCTGGATGTCAATTTGGATCACCTTGGTGAATTTATTGAAGAGACTAGTCTCGACCTTTACTAGATGTTTGGTGATGCAAACATTGAGGGTGCAGCCGAGGTTGATATTTGGAAGAAAAAATTTGTACTAGGCCAGAGTCTATACAACCCTCAAGCCTTAGGTGATCTGGGGACGCAAATGTACCTGCTAAACAAGTGGTACATGCAGGCGTCTACTGGTGGAGACTTCTATGTTGGTGTCAGAATTAGAGACGAACATTGGTTCCATGGCGATGATGTTATGTATGTTGACTTTGCAGAATTTCATCAACTATGCCACCTGACCTCTCTGGACAAAGTTATCATTAGCTGCTATTGCCTGTAAGTAATAATTCTTTTGATCTTTTATTAAACTCATCATATGTGTGTATATGCATATAAATTATCCTAACAAGTACTATATATATGCAGATTTACAATGACAGAGCGCAGAAAGGAAGGCTGCAATGAAATTGGTTTTGTTGATCCCCATATAGTATTCAAAGACCCAGTTACTCCAAAGCCTAATTGGAAGTCTGAGTCAGAGAGTAACCTCATGAACTTCTTAGTGAACCAGCGCCACAAGAAGGATATACTCTTTCCCTAAAATTTCAAGTGAGTGTTAATAATGTCGATCATCCTTAATGACTCATATGTTGATTCTAGTTAATTAATGAGTGTTATGCATATATCCTATAAACACATGCAGCAATCACTAGATATTGATGGACATCGATCTGGTGAAAAGTCACTTGATAATCTATGGCTCGATGAGAAAACCACAACAAGACTACCAAGATATGATAGATATTATCCAGAGGTAATTTCGGCATCTCTAGCAACTATATATACACACAAACATGATGATTAACTATATCTAATGACGTGGCAAATTTTTTATTGGGCAGTGTTTGGAAAACCTTTATTGAGAAGCAACACATGGGAAAATGCAAAGCACCACTGAATGTAATCCCTTTGAAAGTAAGTCCCCTAAATCGCATCATCTTTATTAATTAAACATATAGCTTTCACTGGATCACCAGATTGGATGACAAATCTTTTTCTCGTAAAGTGGTGTCTGAGGGCAGGAACAGGGGAACAACTACTGTGGTTACTATGTTTGCAAGTTTATCAAGGAGGTCTCCCAAAGAACTCCTACAGAGAGACTCAAAGTACGTTAAAAATACACTATATATTCATTTAATTATTATTATTGATTGTGTTACTACGTCTTTATATATATATATATATATATATATATATTTCTATGCTTGAATTGTGTCATTTAATATGTTCATTGTGCTTGAACCAAAACATACTATACGCGCGTATAAATGTATTATTAGCAGCGTACAATACGACTTCGAAAACCTATTTTGAAAAGAAAATAAAAAAATGAAAAGAAAAGAAAAAAGAAAAAAAAACCTTTAGTCCCGATTCGTATTACCAACCGGGACTAAAGGGTGCCGGCCTCGTGGCATGTCAGGAGGCACCTTTAGTCCCGGTTGGTGTTATCCACCAGGACTAAAGGTCCCCCTTTAGTCCCGGTTCCTGACCCGGGACTAAAGGACCCCCCTTTAGTCCCGGATGCTTGCTCCCAGGTGGGGAACCGGGACTAGAGGGGGTTCCCCACCGGAAGTAAAGGTCGTCTCTGTACTAGTGTTAGCAAGCATAACATGAGGGATGCAGGCTCAAAAGGGATTGACATGGCTGAACTGCGGTAAGCACTTTTAGTTGGTCATATTTTATTATTAATCATAAATTGCTAAGTTATGCTTAGGCTCTCAATTATGAATAATTAAAGATGTCAGCAATTTTAATCATAACCCAAACCATCCGAGTAACCGACTATTCAGAAAGGGTCCATGCCGTTCGTGATCGTGAGCACGGCTGATATATCAGTTTTACACTCTGCAGAGGTTGTACACTTTCACCACGAGTCGTGTTACCCATATGCCAGGGTTTGCACCTCCCAAAATACTTCCAAGGTGAGCAGGCAGGGTACACTACGAAGCTTTTCCCCAGTCGTTCTAATAAGGAGCAGTCACTAAGGATTCCATCTCCCAAATGTTATGAAGTCATCTCCAAAAGTGGCACTAATACACGCAGCATAGTACACACCCTAGGGATGAGGCCCGTACCTAGCCCGGTATGCCCCTCTTGCCCTTTTGGTAAACTGCTACAAACTAGAAAGAGCAAGGTACTAGACTAAGACCAGAGCCATGTAGTCCTCATGGTTGTACTGTAAGTCCTGGGTTGTCACTTAAAGATAAGTCCTTATAGAGAGAAACTAGAGCACCCTAAGAAAAGGCCCAATGCTCTAGCCCCCTTGGTTCTATGTTGCTAAAAACATCTTTTAGTACCATGTTGCATATATCTTTAATTGTATTCTTCAATCAATATTAGTTGGAGCAAACTGAGCATACTACCCACATGCAAAACCCATAGGTATATCAAGGACAGGATAATCAATATCAAGGTAGGTAGACTCCAAGCAGCTCATTAACATATGCATATGAATTGAGATTGCATTAAAGTGAATGGGTAACAAGGAGCCTCATATTATACTTACCTTAATTCAAAGTGTCGCTGCTGGTCTTGATCTTCAAAGAGTTGCTTGAGATCACCAACCCAAAACTCACTGTCTACTCGAGATCAGTCAGCACCACACAGACATCCATACAATCATGCATAGCAAACAAAAGCTATAGATTAGAACAGTACACCAATCAACATAAAATCAAGATAAAAAGTTTGTAAAACGAATCTACGTCTCGCTGCGAACACACAGATGCGAAGATCACAAAAATCAGAGCTAAAACGAAGAAATTATGAATTAAACAAGTTTTCCTTTAGTAAAATAATAGATTAAATCTAACCTCGAATTTTAAAAGTTCAAAACCTACTTAACAGTAGTATAAACATGTAGATTACTTAATTATGAACCTAACGCAACTTGAACGGATCAAATCGAAGTTAAAACGGAGATTTTATGCCTAAAACAAATCTAGTGGCAAAACTGTAAATAGCTGAAAACGTATTTTAGATCTACCCGAAGCAAAATACGCTTTCAAAAGAAGAAAACAGTATCTGAAAAGGCGCTATGGACCGCGGGTTAAGACTCAAGTACTTATAAGGACTCTTTTGCAAAATTCCAAAACGAAGGGGTATCCTTCATCTAGGCCCGTCGGATTAGACTTGAGCGGCTGAGATTCAATCAGGCGGGTGAGATCGGCCGGCGGCCGGCCAGACAAGACGGCACGGTGGCGCCATGGCTGGTGAAGCGATGAGCTCACCGGAGACAATGGTTTAGGGCCTACGGTGCTCGGTTTTCCGAATGGGAAGGTCCAGGAGAGAGAGGAGAGAGTGGGAACTCACTGGAACCGAGAGATTCGGCAGATGCGACGAATTCATCCATGCTGGTAGCGTTGAGAACCAGCTGCGCCGTTGTGTATCTAGGCTCCGGAGACGTCCAGGGGCGACCTAGGCATCCAATCCACCGACGTTCCTTTGATCACCCAGGCCCCAGATAACAAGATCTTGGATCTTTTGCAGCTTGCGTAGGCACTCGAAGTCCAGCTTGCCGTTCCATTCGTGCAATAAAATATGGAGTACCCTCAGTTCCGTTAGCTGACCCAGCTTTTCTATAATGTCTATGTTGGATTCTTCAACGCTTAAAGCTGACAGCTCTTCAAGGCTCCTTAGGCTCCCAATACCTTTTGGCACTCTGGTTGACAGGCTGATGTCCAGGCACATCAAATGTTTGAGCTGAACAACATTTGATGACAAGTAAGAAATTATATTCTCCGAAATGTCCAGTACTTGAAAAAATTGTAAGTTTCCTATTTCTACAGGGAGCTCCACGATGCATGTGTTACGCAGTCCTAGGAACCTCAAGTGAAATAGATTCCCAAGGCACTTGTTAAGGTTGTAACAATGTGAAAGATCACAATGTCGTAAATCCATCACACGTAAAACTTGGGAACTCCTAAGGACCGGTATTATTAGACTAGAGGTCAGTCGCAGGATAACAACTGATCTTACTTGTTGCAAGCTCCTAGTTGTCAGAGTCATAGAACCGTCTTCCTTGCCATCTTGAATTGATAACCACCGAATGTTACTTGATGGAGACATCTGATCCATACCATTTAATACAGTAACAAAGTTTGCTTCACTTGACAAGGAGCGGATAAGGTCAAGCACCATGTCATGTACACGACATTCATATACCTTGTCATATGGGTCAAATATGGGTTGGATCATATTTCTGTTTATGAGCTCATTGAAGTAACTCTCTCCGATTTCAAATAGGCTCTTGCCTTGGTTTTCACACTGGATAAAACCTTCCGCAATCCACATCCATATCAAACAATTTTTTTGAACTTCGTAATCTTCAGGAAACATATTGAAATATAATAAGCAAGTCCTCAGATTGGATGGCATATTATAATGAGCTCTTTTACAGTGGTTGGGGGTACTTTTTGGTTCCTCTTGGTTCCTAAGCAATTAATTAGCGTTAATTAATTTTATGAGTGAAAGGTTAGTGTGGTAATTGCTGCCCCCTCCCTCCCCCACCCGACAGCCCATGCACCCGAACCCCCAGCCCCCACGCCGAAGGGGTACGCAAGCCGTAGGCATGCCCACGCTCAAAGCCCTAACCGGCGCCGCCTCGCCCACGCCCTCGCACGGCCCAGACGCCCTCGCCTGCCGCCCCCGTCGCTCGAGAGGCGGCACCGAGCCCGTCCTTCTTCCCTCCTCCCTGGCGCCCCCGCTTGACGCGAGCGGCCCCTGCGGCCCCCGCCCGTGCTGTCATCGCAGCTGCCAAGGAGACGTGCTTGGTCTCCGCCGGTTGGCCCATGCCCTCCGTCGACTACGGTCGCCACTGTCCCCGCCGTGGACAACGCTCACCCGGTCGCCTGGTCCCTTCTGGAGCTCAGCGTCCACCTCCGTCCGGACCGTCCCCGTGGAGAACTCTCTGATCTGGATCGCATCGAGCTCCAATCGCAGAAGGCCAAGGTTCCGTCCTCTGCACTTGTTTTGCATTTGATTTGTCGCATATATTGAACTTAGGAATGCAGCAATGCATTTGTGCAGTTACCTAATTGTAAGTCAGCTGAAAAACATTAAGAATAGACTCACATAATTATTTTTCATTGTTTCCCGTGTATGATCCAGGCACTTAACAATGTTTTGCCAATGTAGACTTGATGCTTGCCTAGCTAGCGCATTAGAGTGTATGCTTTTTTAGTGATCCCCGAGATGGTCTCACACGGTTAGCTCTTGGAGCCTATGAAAATTGACAATTGTTAGAAAATTGTATTTCCTCATAGCTGAAATGGCATAGTTGCTGTACCTGTATGCACATAGTCAAGAATGGACTTATTTCCTTCTTCAGGCTATCTCCGATTATCCCATATATCTTCTCGACATATGCTGTCAACTGTTGCTTGAACCAAAGTGCTGGATATTTTCCCTGTACCATTGATGCAGTGTCAGGCCTTCCCACTCTACACATTTTTTGACATTGCAGTACAGATGATTGGTGCTGCGAGTTAATATTTTTTTAAAAAAAACAGCAAGTGAGCGCTAGTGCACGCTCATCTGCTGATGCTTCTTCAGTAGTGGCCTGAATGATGCCATGCTTTATTTGCCAGTACTTTATTTGCAATGTGTGCATACGCCAATCTACATCTTTTGCCGGTACTTCTATGTGCCGGGCACTAGCGCTCACTTGCTGTTTTTTCAGAATGTGTGCATACGCCCAGCCCCATTCATCAACATGCTTAGCCTTCCTCTTTACTTTCTTTGAGCTCACTCCAGTGTTTTACAAGGGCAGTCCTTAAACTTGTCCTTGTGTGGTGCTATTTAGGTTTCTGTACTCTTAAATTTGTTGTGGAATTTTAATTTGATAGGAGGAAATGTCAGATCTTGAGTCTTTGCTGAAGTACAATGAAATTGTCAAGAAGATGTTTGCTAATGAAGAAGAAGGATTTCAGTTCTATAACAACTATGGTTTTGAGAAAGGATTTAGTGTGAGGAGAAGCTATTGTGAGTGGGACAATGGCCACAATGAGATGACTCTTTGGAAGTTCGTTTGCAGTCGTCAAGGTTTCCGTAAAGAGAAGCAGCTGAAGAAGGCGATTAAGAAGCGGAAGCCGCGGAATATTACCCTGTTGGATGCCTTGCTAAATTTGTGATTGCACGAGATCAGATCACAGGGCACTGGTATGTGAAGGATTTCATCGATGAACACAACCATCCGATGGCGCCAGCAGAGCTTACTTGTCTGCTACGTTCACATAGAAGAATCAGCGATGAGCAGAAAGCTGAGATTGTGGAGATGGAGAGTTCTGGGATCCGCAAACACAAGATAATGGATATTTTGGAAATGTAGTATGGTGGGTATGATAAGGTTGGGTGTACAACAAGGGACTTGTATAATTTCTGCCATCGCTATAAGGCGGAGACAATTGCTGCCGGTGACGCTCAAACAGTCATCAGTTACCTGACGGAACTTCAGCGCAGAGATCCTGATTTCTTTTTCAAGTACATGGTTGATGGGGAAGGACACCTGAAGGGACTATTCTGGTGTGATAGTCAATGTCTGCTTGATTATGAAGCATTTGGTGATGTCGTTGTATTTGATAGCACCTACAAAACTAATCGGTACAACCTACCCCTTGTTCCTTTTGTTGGGGTGAATCACCATCGAAGCATAGTTATTTTTGGATGTGGAATTATTTCTCATGAGAATATTGAGTCATATGTGTGGTTGCTGAGTACATTTTCCGAGGCCATGATTCAGAAGCATCCGATCTCCGTGATCACTGATGGAGACCTTGCTATGCAGAGAGCAATCAGGCTTGTGTGGCCGAATTCATCGCATAGGCTCTGCATATGGCATATTGAGCAGAACATTGTGCGTAATCTTAAGGATGATGTTGTCAAGGATGAATTTAGGAGTTTCCTTTATGATTGTTGGTCCATAGAAGAGACCGAGAGAAAATGGAAGGAATTTTTGGATAAGCATAAGGTTAGAAATAAGGAGTCATGGTTGTATCGGATGTATGATATGAGGGAAATCTGGTGTGCTTCGTATCATGCTGATAAGTGCTACTTAGGACTGAGGAGCAACCAACGTAGTGAGAGTCTAAACTCTAGGCTTCATATGCGTCTAGATCATAAAATGACACTGCTTGACATGGTAAAGCACGTGGAGCACTGCCTTTTAGGGCTGCACACAAATGAGGCAAAGTTGGACACTGATGCATTGCAATCTGAGGCATGCATAGAACCAGATGCTTCAATTATTGAGATAGAAGCCATGAAATCGTTCACTCCAACAGTTTTCGCCACGGTGCAGTTCAGCATAAAGGCAGCCAAGAAGTGTTTTCGATTGACATTCTAGATGGCGATAATATGAGTGAGTATATTGTTGGCAGGAAGGATAAAGGAGACATGATGTACTATGTCAAATGTCTATTTTGTGATGAAGGCAATCTAAAGGGAATTTCTTGTTCTTGTGGTAAGTTACAATCGATTGGAACCCCTTGCTCACACATCTTCTTTGTATTGGGCGATCTGGATAAAGACAAGCTTCCAGACTGTTGTGTTTTGAAAAGGTGGACAATGGGGGCGAAGAGTGCATTTCCTTCGAAAAGGAAGAGCACAATGTATGACTATTCCGAAAGCCTACAGAGGTACCGTGAGCTACGCAATATCGGTCAAGCTGCAGCCTTCGCAGCATCTCGTTCACTTGAATCATATGAGCGGCTGAAACACGTTCTGCAGGATGAAGTTGCTATGAACCTGCCAAATGAAGAAGATAACATAGGCAAGAGGTATGGTCCGGTGCTACCACAAGCCCCGGATGTTGATTCTGTAGCGTTCAGTAATGTGCTGGATCCCTTGCATGTGCCTGGAAGAGGGGCCCCGATGAAAAAATTGAAGTCAATTTCAAATACGAAGAAATATAAGGTCAAATGTAGCCTGTGTAAGGATAAGGGTCACAATCGGCGAACATGCTCCATGAGAAAAGAGGTAGTTCATCTAAGTTGAAAACAGGCAATCTGCGAGGCATGTGTAGTTATGACTGATGTTTGTCCTCTTCATTTGTAGGAATCAAAGCTCCCTGAAGATGTGCTTGATATATGATTTGCCAATGATGAGTTTGTTGTTGCCTATTGTTTATAGGTACGCTGGTGAACAACATATGTTTCTTTGTGCTAGTCTCACTGTGTAGGATTGACACAGTAACAAACTGTATAGCAATATTTACTTTAGCTTTAAGTATGGATATGAGTTATTGTAGTGTAGTGTTGTATGTGTTCTCATGTGCGATGTGCCCATATTTTTCTACTGTTGTACAAATGTTTTAATTATTATGGTATCTTCAAAAGCAGTCATTTCAGGAATGAATTAGTTTTTATGGTAGCTCCAAAACAGCCACTTCTCTTGACTAAAATATGTCTCCATGGTTTTTTGCAGGGCATATTGACCAACGAAACAAGATGCTTAAGATGTGAAACAGTAACTGCAAGGGATGAAACATTTCTTGATCTTAGTGTTGACATTGAACAAAACAGTTTTATCACAAGCTGCCTGAAAAATTTATGTTCTACAGAGACTTTAAATGCAGAGGATAAATTCTTCTGCGACAAGTGCTGCATGTAACTATACCATGTTTCCCTTGGGTTGTATTTATTTGTCATCATCATCAGCATTCTTTGCTTTAGAATTATGCCAATTTTTACTGGTCATTGTCATCCTACTTGGGGGGGGCACTTTGTTTTGGTAGATCTCTGTGACAGCATAAAGCCCTGACCCCTGAGTAATCTTGGTTCCCTCGTACCGTTGTTGCACCCAATCTACGTTGTATAGATTTTGGAAAATATCATGCTGTCGCTACCTTATGGAAGGGACCATCATCTTCACTTTAGTCCTTTGTTACTGCTGAACTCCATTATTTGGTCGCATTCCAGTTTGCAAGAAGCACAGAAGAGAATGAAGATCAAGAAGGCTCCCCACATATTGGTGATCCATCTAAAGCGTTTCAAGTACATTGAGCAGCTTGGCCAGTATAAGAAGCTTTCATACCGGGGTTGTATTCCCCATGGAACTGAAGCTCAGTAATACATCTTTGGGGCTTGCAAGTTCACTCTTGTACCTACACAGCTACTATTTCATTACCTCCATGGAATTGAAGAGGTTGTCTGAGGTGAGGACGCCAGATTTTGGGTGGTTTCAGTGTACAGGGAATAATGGAATCTAGCTCCCAACGATGAAATAAGGTGTAATTTTTAAGTTCGCCAGACCAGTTCGTTCTCAGGGATAACATCTTTTGTTAAAGAGTGGGACTTTACTATTGGGCACACTGTACATCAATTCTAGTGATTAACTTTGCGCATTTACCAGTTCTGATCCATGTACGTGCTGGAATCGTGTTGCATGTAGCATGTTTGATTTTCTTTTTTCAGTTTATCGTGCAGTTGATTCATGTAACTGTATTTTCTGTGTCAAGCCAGAGGAGCTGCTCCTGTGAAAGTCTTTAATAGCTTGCTAAAAAAGTCGAGTGAGGTGTGAGTGATGCCAGGTACTAGTGTTTCTGTGTTTTGATTTTGTGGTTCTCTTCTCAATACTCGTGCTAGCAAAGCTGAGCGCGCCCCGTTTCCCACTCGCCCGTCGGCGGCCGCGTCACGCGGTTTGCAACAGATCCATCTGCAGGAAGTTTCATATGTTGCGCCACATGAATCATGATCAACGGCTCAACGCAGGCCGGCGGTCTCGATAGTCGGCAGTGATAGATGCATCTGTCTGTAGTCCATAGCATCACGTCCTCTGTAGCGAGTGCGACCAGCC